CTATCATTTGGTTTTAAGAAGACTTGGGGGGATATTTTTGGTTTAAAGTTTAAAAAATATCTCAGGCAGGAGTTCATCTCATCTCCATGGCTCAAGATTGGGTTTCACAAGAATTTGAAATTCTGTTCTCCTCCTTTTGATCAGGATTATTCTTGTTGTTGTGGTTGTTATATGCCATTGAGTCGGCCCCGACTTATAGCGACCCGTCCTGGGGTTTCCGAGGCAGTATCACCACGGAAGTAGATTGCCCTACCTTCCTTCCGAGGAGTGGCTGGTGGGTTTGAACTGCCAGCCTTCTGGTTAGCAGTCAAGTGCCTTAGGCACTATGCTACCAGAGATCCTGGATTATTCTGTGTTCAGTAATGGTACTTGAGCACCATCCAGCTCTGGTCTCACGGCAAAGAAGGCAGTTGTTCATAGAGGCAATTTGCCACACATTCCATTTCCTCCTCCTATTCCTTAACTTTCCTTCCTCCTCTGTTGATCCCAGCAAATAAGACCAATTGTTGTACCCTGAATGGCCGCTTGCAGGCTTTTAAGACCTCAAGTGCTATGCAATAAAGTAAGGGGAAGAACAGAAGCACTAAACATTAAGCCAATTATTAAGCCAATTAACTGGGATGTCCCATGAAACTATAACTGTAAACCTCCAAATCAAGAGGTGGTTGATCATACATAAGCAGCCTCAGCATCTACTCTTTGTGTGTGTTATTGTTGTAAATATACCTATCACACAGTTTTTGCCAAATTTTTACAAGTGTATAACTTATTTACAGCACTTACATTAATCAGCTGCACAACTCTATCATTAATCAATGAAATTTTAAAGTTAGGTTATTGATTTGAGATTTTTTAAATGTAGCTGTTTATTGCCATAATTTTCCCTCTGAGCATAACCTTCACTGTATCGCATACATTTTGGTATGTTGTGCTTTCATTTTCATTTGACTCATTTCATTTCTCTTTTATTTCTTCTATGAGCCATTGTTTGTTTAATAGTGTATTGTTTAATTTTTACATATCTGTGTACTTTCCAGTTGTCCTTCTGTTAATTCTAGTTTCATTACATTGTGATCACAGATACTTTGTATAATTTCAGTCTTTTTTAATCTATTGAGAATTGTTTTGTGAGCTAGCATATGGTCTATTTTGGAGAATGATCCACGTACACTGGAATCCCTCTACTCGGCACATAATACACTGAAATTCATGTGCATTATGTGCTGTTCTATATATGTCTAATAGGTCCCGTTGGCTTATAGTGGTGTTCAAATTCTCTGTTTCCTCATTGATCTTCTTTCCAGATGTCCTGTCCACTACTAAAAGTGGTATGTTGCTATTGTTATTTGCCGTTGAGTTGGACCCGACTCATAGAGACCCCCTCCTCCTTGGGTTTCCAAGGCAGTATCACTATGGAAGTAGATTGCCCAACCTTCCTTCCGAGGAGTGGCTGGTGGGTTTGAACCACCACGCTTCTGGTTAGCAGTCAAGTGCCTTAGGCACTATGCTACCACAGTTCCTAAAAGTGGTCCAGAACTGTCTATTTTTCATTTGAATTGTCAGTATTTGGGGCTCTGATGATATATGCATGTATAATTGTTATTTAATGATTAATTAATTGACCCTTTTATCATTGTATAATGTCCTTATTTGTCTTTATAACAGACTTTGACCAAATGCTATTTTGTTTGAAATCAATATAGCCATCCCAGCTCTCTTTTTGTCACTATTGCATGGAATTTTTTTATCCCCTCATCTTTTCACTTTTGATCTATGTGTGTCTTTGGCTCTAAGATGTGCCTCTTGTAGAAAGCTTATAGACAGATTCCCTACTACCACCACCAATCCATCTGCCATTCTCTGACTTTTGATTGCAAAGTTAATTCATTTATATCTAAGGTAATTACCAATAAAATATAAGGAATACTTCTGCTCCTTTGTGATTGCTTTTTGTACGACCATCATTTGTGTTTAGTTCATTTATTTTGTAGTGAGACATTCTGATTCCCTTCTCATTTCCTTTTGAGTATATATTTTAGATTATGTGTGTGGGGTTACTCTGAGGATTACATTCAACATCTCAAATTTTAACAATCTAGTTTAAACTGATACCAATTTAACTTCAGTAACATAAAAAACTATTCTCATACCATTCTCTCCTCCTTTTTATGTAGTTATCATAAATTAATCTTTATACATTTGGAGCCCAGTAACTGAAATTTACTGAAGAATTGTATTTGATATATTTGTCTTTCAGAGTCATTTAGAAAATAACTACTAAAGTCATTTGCCCATGAGATTACCTTTGTGGAAGATTTTTCTTTTCTACACTCCTCTTCAAGTTATATCTAATGTTCTTTCAGTTCTATCTGAAGGATTCCCTTTAACATTTCCTGTAGTACAGGCCTAGTCATCATGAATGTCCCCAGCTTTGGTTTATTTGGGTGTGTCTTAATTTTGCCCTCTTTTTTTTTGTGATTTGGGTGAAGGTTTACAGAGCAAATTTACTTTCCATACAACGGTTCACATATACTTTGTCTCATGACATTGACCACAGTTTACCACAGTGCAACAGCTCCCCTCTCACTTCCTCCCCATAGTTACTTGCCCTAATTTTTAAAGACAGTTTTGCCAGATATAGAAATCTTGGTTGACAGTTTTTTACTTTCAGCACTTTAAACATAATATTCCACTGCCTTCTTGTCAAGGTTTCTGACAAAAAATGGGCACTTAATCTTACTGAGGATTCGTTATATGTGACCATTCCTTCTCTCTTGCTGCTTTCAGGATTCTCTATATTTGGCCTTTGAATATTTGTTATAATGTGCCTTGATGTGAATCTCTTTTGGTTATCCATTTGGAATTCAATAAGCTTCTAGGATTTGTAGATTCATGTCTTTTGTAAAATTTGGAAAATCTTCTGCCATTATTTCCTCAAATACTCTTTCTGTCACTTTCTCTAGCTTCTCCTTCTGGGAATCTCATGATGCATATGATAGCTCACTTAGTGGTATCCCCTAGTTCCAGCACACTTTGCTCAGCTGTATTGATGCTTTCTTCTTTTTGCTCTTCAGCCTCAATAATTTCAATTGCCCTATCCTCCAGTTCTTCCCTCTTCTAGCTCAAATCTGCTATTGATAACTTGCACTGAATTTTTCATTTCAGTTGTATATTTCAGCTCCAGTAATTCTGTTTGGCTCCTTTTTTTACAGGGTCTCTTTATTGATATTCTTTTTGTTTACATATTATTTTCCTGGTTTTCTTAGGTCTTTTCCAAAGTTTTCCTGTAGTTTTTGAGCATTTTTATACTGCTGTTTAAAGTCTTCTAATCTGTCCATAATCTGGGCTTCCATAGAGACAATATTTTCCCTTTGTTTGTTCTTTCGAATGGACAATCATTTTGTTTCCTTGTATGTCTTGTGTTTTTTTGTTGAAGTTGGGACATCAGACTATTACAGTGTGTTAGCATTGAGCATGAGTATGATTTTTCAATTTCCCCATGTATATATAGGGCTTTTGAAATCACTAATTTGTACAAGAAACTCTCAGCTGGTCATAGCTTTCCATCTTTGCCATTTCCACCTCCACCCTGTGTGAGTCCAATTAAGATCAGATGAAGGCTTGAGTCCTTCAGGTAGCTCCCAGACAGATCAGAAAAGAAACACTGAACAGTCCACCAAAAAAGTCTGCCATACTCACTCCAGAGCCAGAGACTGGGGACCTATCTTTGAGAAGGTAAGCCAAAGGCCAACTCCACTGTAGCTGCCAAGTGTTGCACCAGGAAAGTAAGAAGTGTGAACAGTAGAAAAACAAGTTTTCTGACTGATTAAAAGTCATCTTTTTCTATTTTTCAGGGTACAGTTAGTTGCTGCAATTCTCCACATACTTTTCAGAGTTCCTGCAGAGCTGACATTACAGATTTCTAGTTACTTTTCTTAGTGCTGATGTGAGAGTGTCAGGATCTTAGACCTGCTCATGCAGCCATCTTTCCAGAAGTTGCTACTGTTTTTAAACAGTGTCTCTTACTGTGGGTCAACAACATTTAAAAAAAAAAAGGTTCCAGACTACGCTAATTTAAATATATGTTTCTTTCCACAGTACCTTTGTTGTTGTTGTTATGTGCCATAGAGTCAGCCACGACTCATAGCGACCCCTCCTTGGGTTTCCTAGGCAGTATCACCACGGAAGTAGATTGCCCCATCTTCCTTCCGAGGAGTGGCTGGTGGGTTTGAACCGCCGGCCTTCTGGTTAGCAGTCAAGTGCCTGAGCCACTATGCTACCAGAGCCTAGGTCCAAGTGTAATGTGGTCTTTTCTCCAATTTTAACATTTAAAAATTAAATTAAAATAGGTCTAATGGAAGGGCTTAGTGTCTAGTCCAGGCCCTACTTCTAGAACCTAAAGCAAATCAATTCATTTCTGGGCCTTAGCTTCCTCATACTTTAAGTAAAGAAACTGGACTAGATGATCTCTAAAGCTTATTCCAAGTCCAATATTCTTTAATTTCATCACCATTTTGTCCTTATGTATTTATACTTAAGAAATATTAAACAAGAAATTCCAAATATAGATCTTTATTTTCTTAATGTTTAAATTTATTGTGGCATTATTTGGCAACTAACATTCTATAACTCCAAAAGATTTGACATAATAATCTAAAAGGGACATCCACATTCACAATTTGAAGGTAAACTGAAAAAGCACCTTATATGAGCAATTTATATAAAAAGTAAGTGGAAAATCTGAGTTTGAGGATTCATTAGATATCTCCTTATAAGCTTATAATTTATTTCACAATGAAAAGAAATAAAATTTTAATATTCATCAGAAAATTGCAAAAATAGTTAGCTAAAAATTTTTCCATATCAATGATTCTCTGAAAAGCTAAAGAAATTAAATAGCTCTATAAGCCTCTAGAATTTCTACTATGATCTTACCCAGCTGAAGCATGATTTATTTTTCTAGTGTTCAATAACTCCAAATAGAGAAAACAAAAATTTACCTTGAGGAGTAGCTTTTCATGTTGCAAGTTATCAGAATCATATGGCTTTTTTCTCTCATTTTCAACATCCATATAAAGCTGTTTATAACCAGATATCTGTAGTAAGCAAGCCTTCATGCAGATTTTAAAACTGAAAATAATAAAATTATTATTGTATAAATCCTATCTTATCACAATAGAGTAACACCTTCCACAGCCTGTAGCTCATATGTCTATTTAGAAAGCATTTCCTGCCAGTAAGCACCAAGAGCCTCCTTAAACACAAAGCATTATACTAAGTATTATGCAGAATATAGTAAAACAGGGTCTAAAAAGAGGATAAGACATGTAGGAATTGCAAACTTTGCAAATTACAAGCATTTGTTCACGTCCATTTTTCAAGTTTGCTCTGGGTATTCTCAGAGATTCCAAATGTTTATTGCCTGAGGTCAACAAAAGACCTAATTTTCCAAATACATAATAGAGAGCTGCATGGCAGGCGATGTCAGTTCTCCCAAATACCACAGCTTATCTTCCCTGTAGCAACAAATTCTTTCTTAAGATTTTTAATCTATTAATGTCATCCCTAATAAAGCTTGAACACTCAGAATTCTAATCCTCTTCTTTCTCCATCAACAATAAATCTAAAAAGGTACTCAAGTTCTTATCCAGGATATCTCTTAAATGTCCCTCAAAGTAAGTTTCATATCTCCATTTTCCCTGCTGTATAGATGCTTTTGTCATTTCTTGTCTGAATGGCTCACGTACTTCTCTATCTTTATTCCTACTACCAGCATTCTGCATCCCCAAACTTATCTTCCATCTTTCTAAAATACAAACATGATAATGTAACTTGTTTACTTAAAAAAACAGAGAACAAATTATCTCATTCCTTCAGAATTACATTTAAGACTTTGCAATGCATCTCCAATTTTGCATTCTATTCACTTCTCCAACCACTGCTCTATATATATTCAGCGTTCCAGACACAAAGCATTCCTTATAGTTCCCAGATATTCTTGTATTTCTATTTCTCTTTGCCTTGCTGGCACTGTCTTCTACAGAAGGTCCTCTTCTACTCATTTATCAATGTCCAGTTCAAATGTCACCTTACAATTCTCCCCTGTACTCTTCCTGTACCAGCCAAAATAACTTGCTCTTTCTTCTGTATCAACAAAGAAAATGGTGAATGAGGAGACAAATTGCTAAATACTATCTCAATGTACTAATGCTGAGAACACAAAAACCTAAATGAGAAAACACCACTCTTCTTAAGGAACTTAGAATTCACTTGGGAAGAAAAACAGTAAATCCGTGGCTACAATATAATGAGTTAAACGTTATGCTAGAATGCTCTATGTGTGGACAGAGCAAAGGAACCTAACTCAGACTAGAAGATCCAAAGAGGACCTTCATGGAGTAGGAGACAGGAGTGAAATTTTAAAGGATAAGTATATAGTAGATGAAGCTATTTAACTTTGGGAAAGTAATATTAAGTTATATTAAAGATGACAGATAATATAATGGCAATAATACTCAACTATGAAGCAAAAGATAGGGGTTTTAGTCTTGCTTTCATCATAGTTATATAATATTGTACAAGTTACCTCTCCACTCTGGATTTATATTCCTTATCTAGTGAAATGAGAAGACTGAATTAGATGATTTCCACAACTCCTTCTGCTTCTGACAGTTCAAATGTGTGTGAGATCTCTGTAACTCAACGGAAACAACTCTGTAATAAAAAAGAATACTGTAAAAACAGCATACCTGGCATCCTTCTCAGGGTTAATATTCTTTTCCTTCATTATATCTTGTACACATTTGTCCACTTCACTCTGCAAGACATGTGTAGCTTCCTGTAAAACCTATTGATGTGAAAAAGAAGTTGAATAAAAATATCCCTTGTAGTTGAAAAATAGTAAATTTTGAGGCATTTAATGAACTTTACAATTCATATATTAAAATGAAAACTAAAAACAAATTTGTTTCAAATTTTCTCTAGGGCTGAAATTATTTAAGTATAAATATTTGTTGATAAAAGAGAAGCAGCAGGATGGATCTAATATAGGCTTTCTTAACAAAAAAATCAATATGCTCTCAGATAACCAGTTGCCATACAGTGTGCTTATGAAATAGGTATTTTTCATAAAATTTTAAAATTACATTATAAAAATATATGTAGAAAAAAATTAAAATGCAGAAATCAACACAACCCTGGTGGTGCAACAGTTAAGCACTCGGCTGCTAACCAAAAGGTTGGCAGTTCAAACCCACCCAGGAACTCCATGGGAGAAAGACCTGGCAATCTGCTTCCATGAAGATTATAGCCAAAAAAACTTTATGGGGCAGTTCTGTCACCTGGGGTCACTGTGAGTTGGAATCAACTTGATGGCACCCAACAACAACAACAATTCTCCCACCAGAGATAGCCACTAGTAACACACTGGTGTACCTTCTTTTGGTTTTTCTATGGATAGAAAACAGAAAAAACACAGGTCTATAAATGTCCACTGCATCTTTCAACAAGCAAGTTCACACCTCCCTTATCCTTAAAAAGTTTAACTCTTACCCCCCAATAAGCTACCATAAAGATCCTTTCTGATATCCTCTATACTCCAGGCAAACTGAATTACTATGTTATTTTCAATCACACCTACAGCTATGACTCCACTTATTCTGAGCCTTTCATCTGGAATGCCCCACTCTCCCATCTCTAAACATAAATCCTCATTTTTAAAACTAGCTCAAATGCCAGGTCCGATAAACTTTCCCTGATTTCATTTAATTTGAAGTAACCTTCCCACTCCTGGAATCTTCCTAATAATTTATCTGTAACCTTTTCTTGAGTCATGTCCAACTCGTTGGCACATAACAACAGATGGCAATGACATAATAAGATTTAAGAAAAGGTTGTTGTTGTTGTTGTTGTTATGTGCTGTCGAGTCAGACCCGACTCATAGCGACCCCTCCTTGGGTTTCCGAGGCAGTATCACAACAGCAACAACCTTTTCTTAAATCTTATTATGTCATTGCCATCTGTTGTTATTATGTGCCAACGAGTCGGACACGACTCATAGTGACCCCTCCTTGGGGTTCCAAGGCAGTATCACTACAGAAGTAGATTGCCCAACCTTCCTTCCAAGGAGTGGCTGACAGTTTGAACTGCCAGCCTTCTGGTTAGCAGTCAAGTGCCTTAGCTCCTCACTGTCATCTAGTCAATTCTGATTCATAGCAACCTGATAGGGCATAGTAGAACTGTTCCATAGGATTTCCAAGGCTGTAATCTTTATGGCAGCAGATTACTTTCTCCTGTGGAGTGGCTGGTGGGTTTAAACTACTGACCTTTCGGTTAGCAGCCAAGTGCTTTAGCCACTGTGCCACCACTGTTCCTTCTCTATTATTATAGTTCTTTTTATATATTAGGTGGTAAATTCCTTGAAGATACAGGTTGTATGTGGCTCATCTTTTCATATTTTGCATGTAATAGATAATTCCCAAATAATTATTGGAGATACTCAATAGATAAAAATCTTAAGGAGAACTGTTTCAGTAAAAGACATATAAAGCAATGTATAAAATTATTTAAAGGAAGGAAGGCTCACTTTCCAAAGAAAATTAAAAGCTAATAAGGAAAAGGATCAAAGCTTCTAATAATCAATTAGGATGCAAATTGAGATAATCCGGCTACAGGAAATATCTTGAAGATTAAACACCAGCAGAAGTAAAAGGGCTGGTTTCACCATGAGTACAAATGTGAGAAACATCATTTTTTCAGTTTAGAGAATGCATAAAGAAACAAAGTATGGCCCCAGAACAGAAGCATACTAATCAGTTAATACAAAGGTTCTCAAAGAATTGCTTCTGACCAGCAGGAGCAGCAACATCATTTGAGAATGTGCTACAAATGCAATCAGATGGAGTAAGAACTCTGGTGCTGGAGCCGTCATCTTTGTTTTAACAAGCCTCGGGGGCATTCTAATGCATGCTCAAATCTGAGAACACTGTTGTTGTTGTTAAGTGCTCTCCGGCTGGCCCCAATTCATAGCAACCTTATGTACAACAGAACAAAACACTGCCCAGTCCTGTGCCATCTTCACAGTTTTTGCTTTGCTTGAGTCTCCTGTTGAAGCCAATGTGTCAATCCATCTTGATAAGGTTCTTCTCCTTTTCCGTTGACCCTCTACTTTACCAAGCATGATCTCTCTTCTCCAGGGACCAGTTCCTTCTGTCAATATGACCAAAGTACATGAGATGAAATCTGGCCATTCTTGCTTCTATGGAGCATTCCAGCTGTACTCTTTCCAAGACAGATTTTTCATTCTTCTGGCAGTCTGTGATATTTTCAGTATTTTTCACCAACACAATTCAACACATCATTCTTTAGTCATTCTTATTCATTGTACAGCTTCCACATGCATGTGAGGCTATTCAAAATACCATGGCTTGGGTCAAGTACACCTTAGTTTTCAAAATAACCAAGACACCACAATACACAAACTGACAGACTATTGTAATAGACCTGAAATATAACATTCTCTCCAAGTATATCTGCCACAACTTACAATACTGTTTCTTTGGGAGAATGTAACCCAAGTTTGAATTAAAAGGATTATGTGAATGAATAAGGAGCTCTGGTGGAAGAGTGCTTAAAGCATTTGGCTGCTGATCAAAGGTTGGCATTTCCAACCCACTAGCCTCTCTGTGGGAGAAAGATGAGGTAGTTGGCTTCCGTATAGATTTAAAGAACTGGAAACCCCATGAGGCAGTTCGAATCTGTCCTAAAAGGTTACTATGAGTCAGTACCAACTTGATAGCAGTGGGTTTGGATTTTCTTGGTGGGTGGATAAAGCAAAAATTTTTAGAATCAGAAACATGTTAGCTTTCTGGACGTGTAAATTTCATCTAAAATAAAAGGAATATTATCACTTTCTAAGTATTCTGAACATGAGAGTAGGGCTCTTGGATTCCTTCAATATTCATGCATATGTTTGAGTTAATTTTACCAACAGCATTCATAAATAAAAGTTGCAACTAAATCAGTAAAGCAATATTTTTCAGGTAGCCCTCAAAAACATAACTGGTGTGCTTTGTTTCTGGTATAAATCAGTAACTTTTATCAGTGCTGTTGTTGTTACGTGCCATCGAGTCATCTTAGACTCATAGGACCTAATATACCACAGAACGAAAAACTGCCCAGGACTGTGCCAGCCCCATGATCTTTGCTATACCTAAGCCCATTGCTGCAGCCACTGTGTCAATTCATCCCGTTGAGGGCCTTCCCCTTTTTCATTGTCCCTCCAATTTGCCAAGCATGATATCCTTTCTCCAGGGAATGGTCCCTTCTTACAACATGACCAAAGTAGGTGAGACAAAGTCTGGCCATTCTCACTTCCAAGGAGCATTCCGGCTGTACTTCCTCTAGGACAGATTTGTTAGTTCTTTTAGCAGTCCATGGTACTTTCAGCATTCTTTGCCAACACCACAACTCAAAAGAATCAATTCTTCAGTCTTCCTTTTTCAATGTCCAGCTTTCACAAGCATATGAGGTGACTGAAAATACCATGGCTTGCGTCAAGTGCACCTTAGTCTTCACGGAGGTATCTTTGCTCTTCAGCACTTGAAAGAGGTCCTTTGCAGCCGATTTGCCCAATGCTGTACGATGAATGATATCTTGACTGCTGCTTACATTAGTGTTGATTATAGAACCAAGTAATATGAAGTGTTTGACAACTTCAATCTTTTCTCCATTTATCATAATGCTGCTTATTGGTCCTGTTGTGAGGATTTTTGTTTTCTTTATATTGAGGTGTAATCCATATTGCAGGAGCTCTGGTAGCATAGTGTTTAAGGCATTTGACTGCTAACCAGAGGGCTGACAGTTCAAACCCATCAGCCACTCCTCGGAAGGAAGATGGGGCAATCTAATTCTGTAGTGATACCACCTCAGAAACCCAAGGAGGGGTCAGTATGAGTTGTATCTATCTCAAGGGCAGTGAGTTTGGTTTTTTGGTTTTGAATCTATACTGCAGACTGTAGTCTCCAATCTTCATCAGTAAGTGTTTCAAGTCATCCTCACTTTCAGTAAGCAAAGTTATCTCATCTGCATAATGCAGGTTGTTAATAAGTCTTTCTCGAATCCTGATGCCACAGTCTTCTTCATATAGTCCAGCTTCTCAGATTATTTGTTCAGAATACAGATTGAATAAGTATGGTGAGGATACAGCCCTGGCACACTCCCTTCTTGATTTTAAACCATGCAGTGTTCCCTTGTTCTGTTCAAACAACAGCCTCCTGGTCTATGTACAGGTTCCTCATGAGTACAGTTAAGTGTTCTGGAATTCCCATTTTTCTCAATGTTATCCATAATTTGTTATGATCCACACAATCGACTGCCTTTGCAGAGTCAATAAAACACAAGTAAACATCATTCTGGTGTTCTTTGCTTTGAGCCAAGATCCATCTGACATCAGCAACAATATTCCTCATTCCACGTACTCTTCTGAATCCAGCTTGCATTTCTGGAAGTTCTCTGTTAATATATGCTGTAACCATTTTTGAATTATCTTCAGTAAGATTTTTCTTGCATGTGATATTAATGATATTGTTCAATAATTTCCACATTCTGTGGGATCACCTTTCTTTGGAATGGATACAAATATGGATATTTAATGGTCAGTTGGCCAGGTAATTGTCTTCCAAATCTCTTGGCATAGCCAAGTGAGTGCCTCTAGTGTGGCATCCATTTGTTGAAACATCTCAGTGGGTATCCCATCAATTCCTGGAGGTGTATTGGAGCTGTTCTTCCTTCCATATAAATTTGTTAACTCTTCTAGCAGTCCATTGTTGTTGTTAGGTGCCGTCGAGT